TCTGCATTCATCGATACTTTTGATTTTGAGTTAAAAACAATCAAAGGAAAGTCTAATGTGGTTGCAGATGCATTGTCCAAATGGAGTGACTTCTTTGGTGCAATTGTCTCTTATTTGGATGTTGGGAATGACCTGAAAAACCAGATTCGCCAAGGATATGTTGCTGACCCTATTTGGAAACCAATTATGGATATCCTTGAACGAGATCCATCCCAACTGCTCAACTATAGAATGACTGATGGATTGTTGTTCTTGATTGACCAAACCAAACAAAGATTGTGTATTCCTCATAAGGAAGAGAATATTTTTGTTCTCTTACCAGCAGAAGTGCGTACTGAACTTGTCATTCAAAAATTCCAGATGCGATGGGTTACTGAGTATGGGTTTCCCAAAACCATTGTGTCTGATCGAGATGTCAGGTTTACTAGTCTGCCATGGCAAAAGCGGATGGAAGCGTATGGCACACGGCTGACCATGTCGTCAGGGAGGCATCTCGAAACGAATGGCCAGATTGAACAGATGAACCGTCTGTGTTAGCAACTTTTGCGTATGTATATTAGACCCGATCAGATTGATTGGGACGAGAACTTACCCAAAATTGCAAGTGCATATAACAATAGTGTCCATACTTCCACGAGAAGAACCCCGAATGCACTTCACAAGGGGTGGAAGCCTAAACGTCCCATTGATGTACTAATTTCTTAGGTTGCCCACAGGGACCCGATAGTATGCAATCTTATTTCAAGAGGACATATAGAAAGTTAAAGATAATCTAAGGAAAGCTCAACTACGGATGATTGAACAAGCCAACATGCACCGTCGACCGTCTACATTCAAAGAGGGTGATCTGGTTTGGGTAAGATCTAAAGAGTTTTCACTAGAAGAAGATGTGTCCCAAAAAGTGCTACCTGACTATTTTGGACCCTGGGAAGTTCTCAAGGTAATTGGAGATGCATAGGGACCGTCTTATCGAATTGATATTCCCCCTCATCTCAAGACATATCCTGTCTTTCATGCGTCCAAATTGTTGCCTTACATAGAAGGAAATGAGTTTCCACACAGACCCTCTATGATTTCCACCCGATGTGGATGGCGGATACGAGGTTGACAGAATCATAGAGCATGGTTACTTCTCTACGGGAGGACGTGGACGACCTCAGAAGTAGTTCAAGGTACGCTTTAAAACTCAAGCACCATCTGAGGACAGATGGTTTAGTAAACGAGAACTACTTGAAACTGCTCCTGATATTGTCGCCGCTTATGAACGAGGGTTAAAGTCTTAAATATTTCTGCGGTGGAACTCGAAAATGGGCCGGCAGGAATGTAATAACCCTGTTCAGAAGTAGCCTGAGGCCCAGAACGCAGCCCCAGGCCATGCACACCTGAGAAGGTCTGCACTGGGCTGTGTGACCAAGACACGCCCAGGCCTGAGTCTGTCGAGTGTGGCTGTGTGACCGAACACTGCACACAGGAAATTCAAGAGTCAAAGTCAACTGTAGAGTCAAAGGTACCACACCCAGGCCCTGGGTTGGATGCACTCACTTGTTGTGCGCAGGTACTCAGACAGCATCCAAGCCGGAGGGAATTCGGTTTTAGGCCGATCTGAGCCCTCATTCGCATTGAGATCTAGACGGCCGAGGGATACAGCATGGGGTCCAGACCCCGCGTCAACACTACATAAGAGTTGCTTCCTCGCTTTGACATTCATTCTGTCTTGCATTGATGCTGACTTCACGCGTTGACTTCAACGCTGGCTCGACGCTGCGACGCTGGCTCGACGCTGCTGGCATTGTGACTTGGCGAGGTGCTGCTAATCCGCCATGGTGGCCGGCTTGCTCCTGTCTTCTTGGCATGCTGACGTGGCAGCTACCATGCGCCTTCGCTAATGTGGCTGCTGCCACGTGTATCATTTGGCTGACGTGGCTGCTGCCACGTGTTCTATCGAGGGGACTGCGTAATCGACATTGCTGTTCTGTTCGTCGTCACTTCAGGAGGAGATCAGGACTGTGGGAAGTTCGAGGATACGTACCTGGTGGTCTTCATGTCGACATTGCTTCAGATGCTGATGTGGAACTGATTAGATGTGCTACGTGGCACATTGAGGGTACTCGGATACTCGTTCAGACTATTGATCGTTGAGGTGGGGTAGAGGAGGGAGCCCGAAGCAGGAGTGGGCATTATACTTCCTCTCCTTTGTCTCTTCTCCCTCCTCTCTCTTCGTCTGTGTATGATTACCTCATCTCATTCTGTCTAGTTACGAGTCTGACTATTTGTAATCATCAGTCGATGGACATTTAATCTAGACTTGCATTGTTGACAACCGTCTCACATCTGGGTTCATTACACATAGCGGCCATAACTGATAGAAGCGTGTAACGTGTGTGTGTACAGTGTGATGCGTGTGGGATATCCAAGGTGATCCTAAGTTGAGGGTGTGTGAACAGTAGAGTGGGGAGCAGTGACGAACAGGGAGATGTACAGGCGCTGATGCGCCATAGCCGTCTGAAGCGAACTTGTATCTGAACTGTGCTCTTGGTTTCCATATCTCTGAGTTTTGAGTGGGCGCTTGTCGCCAGTTTGCTGCGCTACCTGTTTGCATGTATGTGAAGTGTGGAAGGAAGCGAGTCTGATTGCAAGGTGGGAGATGTAGGGGTTAATGCCTATTATTGAGGCTTGGATGTCCTAACGTTTTTACTAAGACATGGATGGTTGGGCTGATATCCTCTGCTGAGTGGGGAGTTAGACTCTGATGTGCTGTTGTGAGGGGGTGTGTTGTTGTGGGGAGGTTTGTTTAGACCGGTGGGGGGAGAATGGGTTTCGGTTGCTCTTCAAGTCTGCCTTTTGGCTTGCTACTTGAGGTGTTTTAGGAGGAACTCTCTCAGATGCTTAGTGAGTCGGGTGTACTGATGACTGGTCTTGGTTCTGGGCAGGTAGCCTGTGTTGGGTCGTTCCGCATTGTGAAGATTAGGCCTTGACCTCTGATGGTCACTATCTTGCCCTTAGCTAGGTAAGTATCCTTGGCATTCAGGTCATTCGCTCTCATCCTTCTCCTGACTTTGCGCCATAAGACCCAGTATTCTGTTTCTGCCTGTTTTCTGAGGATACTCCATGCTTCCTGGATGTGCATTGGTTGTTTGTCTATTGTTTCCTGGCATTGTTTAGCGGGGACCAATCGTCAGGTGTTGTGAATCCTAGTAGAATAAGGATAGGGCTTGCTGTAAAATTCGTCTTGGTTATTGAGGTCCATATGTGTGAAATCGTGTTCTTTATGGGTTGGATTTTGGGATATTGGGGGAAGCAGTGAAACAAGGTTTCTGTCTGACCTTCTATGCAGTTAGCACATAGCTTGTTTAAGGGATTTCTATCCTCTTTTCTTTTTCTGCCATTGGTTGAGGGGACTGCTAGGTATAGGATTAGCCATTGTAGGCTTTTTGAATTTTGGGGGGGGGGGGGGGGGTGTTGCCATTTGGTTCCGCGGTTGCCATTTGGTTCCGCAGTATCTCTTTTAAGTTTTCAGGGTCCACTTCAACGTGTTTTTTCCAGCGTTCTGCTATGACAGGCTCGGGGGCTGCGGGGTGTTGCCATTTGGTTCCGCGGTTGCCATTTGGTTCCGCGGTATCTCTTTTAAGTTTTCAGGGTCCACTTCAACGTGTTTGTTCCAGCGTTCTGCTATGACAGGCTCGGGGGCTGCTGATCGGTGTCTGAGTTTGTAGCCTAGACTGCTGGTGTAGTTGATCAGGTTAAATCTGCGGTTGATTCCTGTGAATTTGGACCATGGCTACCATCCGGACATCCGGACAGGCGTCCAGACGGTCTGCTGTCCGGTGTCTGGACGCCGGACCGTAGGAGGCCCGTCCGGAAGGGGCCAAAACCCCGAAATTCAAAAAAAAATGGGGCACCCTAGATGTTGCATACTGTAACGTCCAGACCAGAACAAGAACCGACCTCTCAATACAAAGTACAAGATAACACAGCGGAAGACAGATACAAATGATACGAACAATCACTATTGCAATGCAGCCCTGAACACACATCATCATCATCGTTTATYTGGTGTGAAGGGGGTCTGGCGCTTCACACAAGAAGACTGCGCCAGCCCCAACCATACACAGACGAAGAAGGAGGGGTTAGATGAAAGAGGAGGGGAAGATGGGAATGTCGTCAACACCAAGTCTCGGTACAGGCCCAAATAGTCCCTTGTCGAAATGTCTGAATCCCAATGTCCAGTSTGGATCCAATGTCGTCAAGTCTCAAGTCACAACTCTTTCTCTCTCTGTCGTAGTCTGAGAAGTCAGGTGRCGAGAGGGTGAGAAGAGATGGTGGACTTAGAAGAGGAAGAAGAAGAACTCTCTCTCTCTGTGTGTCCAGTACTAACCTGTGAAGTTGGCGCCTTGATRYAGGTACCTCGAAGATGGAGCTGGAGCGATGGMGCCACAGGTAAGTACCACTGGCCTCYGCCWGTATCTCTCCCAACTCYACGATCTACCACCTACCAGYGCCCAGCGCTGAAGACTACTCTATGGCTATGGGCGCCCAGCGCCGAAGACTACAGCTAGCGCTAATCCTACTRCCTAGCGCTGAAGACTACTGCAGCGCTCTCCTGAGTGCTGCGRCCGAATCCTGAAGACTACCCGTGCCTACTGAAACTACCTCCCCGTGAAGTGCCTACGAAGCCCTATGAACTACCCAGGTGCCTCCTAACTGCAGGCGAGCAGTCCAGGAGGCTGCTCTTGCCAATGCCGATCGGAGGCAGGGGCTGYCGCTGCAGCTCCTGCTCAAGCTCGTGAGGAACAGGCTATTTCTGGCCTGTTCAGCATCCCTGTTTACGTGCCTGAGTCTTARGGGCGGTTGAAACAATGAGGGCCTGAAAATGGCCCTCCGTTTCAAGCTGGAAAAACTCTGGGTCTGAAAGACCCAGAAATAGGCTGAAACGGAGTAGGGCCTGCAGGCCCTCGTTTCTCAGCTTTCAGGCTGAAACGACCGGGGCCTGTAAGCCCTAAGTTTTAGGCTTTTAGGCTGAATGTCCGGGACGGGCCCTGCAGGGCCCGTGTGGCTACGCAGTATGCCACACCCCCCCTCCTGGAAGAACCGAGCTTACCTGCGAGAGCGAAGCTGTCTGTCTGAGGGAGGGACCACAGTCCGGGTGGGAGGGGCTGGTTGTGAAGCTTCCTGAGCTAACCTCCGCTTTTCATAATGCGCGTAGATCAGCGGTGCGGATGCTTTCAAATCTGCGCTTGAAATCCACCGAGTGTCGTCGCGATCACATGCTTTGAATGTGACTTTGTACTGTTGCGGCTTGCTGACGTACTTGCGATCGGTGATGACGCGGTCAACTTCCTGATGACCATCCATAGAAGGAGGGTCCTGCAATCCTCGGCCCGGAAAGTCGTCGCTCTTGGCTGGCGTGTATGTTGCCAGCTTCGAGGCGTGGAAGACCGGATGGATCGTCAGATGCTCTGGAATGTTGATCACAAATGAAGGGCCATCGGGCTCATCGCCCGCGGCTGCTGTCGCAGACCAAGGTCCAAACCACTTGGGAAGCAGTTTGCGTGAAACGTCCTGTTCCAGTGCAAACTCTTCCACGGAGACCCAAACCAGATCACCGGCACGGATGGGACATGGTACGCGACGCCTGTTGGCTTGCTGCTGCATGGGGACTTGAGCCTTTTGCATGTTTGCGCGGGCTTGAGTCAGCAATTCCCTGTACTTCCGGACGGAAGCGGGAGAGCACGCAGCGTCAATGTCGGCTGGTCGAGGGAGGAGAAGGTCGGCGAAGATCCGGCGTTTCCGTCCACCGTGGTGGAACTCGAATGGAGTCACGCCGACCGCCGGATGCACCGAAGTGTTGTAGGCGAACTCGATGTCGGGGAGGCAGTCAACCCCGATCTTTATGGTCCGGACGGATGAGCGTACGAAGCATCATTTGAGCGGTTTGATGTGCCCGCTCCGTTTACCCGTCCGTCTGTGGATGCCGAGCCGAACTTGGTTTCATCGTCGTGCTGGACTCCTGCATGAGCGCAGTCCAAAATGCTGACATGAAACGAGTGTTGCGGTCGCTGACTATGTCTTCTGGTACACCGTGGCCACAAATCCAACCAGTGTGCAAGAGGCGTGCCAGCTCGGGAGCCGTGGAGTAGTACTTGCAAGGGAGAAAACGCGCGTACTTACTCAATTGGTCCACCACCTTGAGGATGCCGTCGTGCCCGAGCCGGTCGGGGGGAAACATACCGGTGACGTCCATGGCAATGGAGAGACCAACTTTCCGTGGGATAGGCATCGGGCGTAACTCGCCGTAGGGATTGCAGTTGTGGGGCTTGCTGCGTCGGCAAACTTCGTAAGAGTCGCAATACGGAGTGACGTCGGTAATGAGATCGGGCCATCGGAATCGCTGTCGAAGTCGTGCAATAGTGCGGTTGACTCCGAAATGGCCGGCGAGTCGCGAATCATAATACTCGCCGAGGAGGCGAGTCCGAAGACGGCGGTCGCGTGGGACACATAGTAAGTCCTTGCCTCTCGAGTGGAGGAGCAAGTACCCGTCGGCAATGCGATAGTGGCTGGCCGGCGGGTGATCCGAAGATAGTTGTGCATACAACGTGGCGAAGTCCGGATCAGACTCGTATGCCCGGATGAATGTCGCTGAAGCTCCTCGTCGAATGCGAAGGCATGATGTGTCATAGCGCAAAGATCAGGTCTTCGCGAGAGTGCATCTGCTGCGTGATTTGAGAGGCCGGGAAGATGTTTCGGTGTGAAGTCAAACTGGTCGCTGAAGTACATCCATCGTCCGATCGTGCTGCTCACCGTATCGTGCGTCTTGTAGTAAGTTAATGGATTGTTGTCCATAACCCATGTGAACCTACGACGCCCAGGGAGGAAGTGCCGCCATCGCTTGAGAGTCATTACGAATGCGAGCAGCTCCTTCTTCCTTGCATCATCAAGCGAGTTGATGGGAGGCACTTTGTGGCTGAAATACTCCACAGGGTGCCAGTCGTCG